AGCAAGAAAAGGCCTCACAAGTTAAATTTGCTTTTGCTTTCAGAATATGCAGACACAATGCATAGCTTATAAATGCGCGAACATACATCTAAAATCTTTGTATATATTTATTTTGACCATTTACAAATACACATAAAGGCAACAGATTTACAACAGCAGAGTAGTTTAGATAAAGATACCTATTATTTTAATTTTTTTTTCGGAGCATAAAATCAATTTTTTTTTTAGTTTTAGTAGTGCTGGGACTATCCATATATATGGATATGCCTTCGTATATTCGTATAAAATTCGCATATACGTTGGGATCCGCCATTTTTTATTATCCGGATATCTGGCTAATATCCGTTTTTTATGCTGTTCTTACATACGCTTAATATCCGTTCATTTTGTTAATCGGATTCTTTAATCAGATATTCGAACATCCGGAAATTAAAAAAATACGGATAGAACCCCAGCCCTAGTATTTAGAAGTGTTTAATATTAATGATTTTTTATGCTGGCAGAAATTTGGCAATTATCTTTGCTTACGCTTTATTTAGCTTACTGTGATGATTTATCATTGCAATAATATTGGCTGGACGTTGAATTCTATATTATACCTCGCGCTACATTTAAATAGGCACATTTAGTTCTACAAGCACCATATGTAGGATGCTCGCTCTTGAAAAAAAAAAATCGCTAGCTTAGAGTGAAAAGTTGCTAAGTCCACTTTTTATGAAAACTCATATTTTGATATAGGAGGCTAGAGAAATTGAATACGCATCGTTTCGAAAATTATAAAGATACTTGTTTTATTTTTTCCTCTTCATAAGCAATAAAAGGAAAATTTGCTAAGTCCAAAAGAAGCACCGCAAATCCGATAAGGCCACAATAATACGACATCTTTTAATAAATATCGAAACCTTCTGATTCTTATGGAGTTTTGCTTTGCTTTAAACGCGCAAAATGTTTGATTCAAAGTCTTGCGAAATAGTTAAAGAAAATGGCTATAGGAAGATTTTTTCCTCTCCTGTAAAATTTTTAAATTGGACTTAGCAACTTTTCTTTCTAAGCTAGCGAAATGTTGCCATTCCATTGAAGTAAGGTCTGTGCATTAAGCTTTAAGCGATTAGCAATCCTTATGGTAGTGGGTGTAGTCTATTTTTTAATCAGTTAATTTTTTTGAAAATCATTTAAACTTTTTTTATTTTTTTTATTAGAACTTTGCTTCTGAAAGTTTATTTTACAGTGAGCTCTCAACATATTTGCAGTAATTTTTTATTTAGAGATGTTCCCTTAATCTTAAAGAACCCTCGAAGGTCTCAAAAGTTTGGATGAGCCGTCAGAACATGGATGAAAATCTTCCAAGTTCCGAGTTTAAGAGTCACCTATTTAATAACTTCTGTATCCAATTTTTTTTAACCTCTTGGCTATTTTTACAGTTCTGTATGACGATTCCTTATAAACTTTTGAACTTTTAGATTGTTTAAATTTTTATAGAATGCCAGTTATTTTGCCTACTGACATATTTTTGTTTTTAGTAGAATCGTGTGAAAAGGACTGTGTTAGAACAAATTTCATGACAAATATGCGACCATTTTGACGAGTGTCCAAATCGAACTATATTTAAAAGCAACCACAGCGGTCACCCCAGCAACACTCCGAATAATTTCGGATATTTTTATATTTAAATCAAGCGCTGTAAGCTTATGAATGTCATAATACAAGAGCTTATGATTTCTTGTCTTTCGACGTTTTCTAAAGTTTTTGAAGTACACTTTCATGCATATTCCATCGGATAAGGTAATATGCATAACAATGCCTCTAGTACCATTACCTCATGCATCCAACCTGCAATTTCCAGATTTCTTATGCCGCTTGTAAGACGTCTCAGAGGCCTATTGCTGTATATTTTTTCTTTTTATTTCATTTATTTCATTTATTTCACTCTTAATCAGCAATTGTTTTCGCTGCAAAAAAATAAGGAAAATATCGATCAAAAAATAAAAATATATATTTTTTCTTAAGTACTTTTCAAAACTGCGCTTGATTTTCATACCCTTTTTGCAAATCAAGATGCAAGTTTTCGTTGAGAGTTCTGTTTAAAATTTTATAGCCTAAACACTAAAAAATAGTCGTAAATTAAACGTTTGCTCTTATTTTAAAGTTTCAAATTTTAAGTATACTTCAATCGGCGCGTCCGAAATAAGCCATCGTAAATAAAAAGGGTTTATCATTTTATGCTATAATTTAATATTTTTTGCTCAGCAATTTCGTCGAAAATTTGGAGCGCATGCTAGACGATAAGGAGCCGAAAAAGAGTTTGGTTTTTGATAGCAAATTTGTTCATTAAACTTTTTCTTAAAATACAAATCATAAAAAAAAACTTTCGTTTCAGTTTAGTGTTTCCCTTCGGGTCATCCCAATCCTAACACTGAAAAGCCAAGCTGAGCGCATTGCGCAACTCATTCAACACCATCGAGCCAATCACCATTTTCTCACAGTTCACCATCAAAGCCAACTGCTCGCCCTGTGATGTCTGCCAGTCCAAAGTAATTAACACCAGACTTCTCGAGTTCATAGTTTGGCCCGCAAAGTAAAGCAGCTCATTATTGCCCTCACTCGTCGCAATAGGCGCCACATTAATGCATTCGAATATGCGTTTCTTCAATGCTGCCACATCGACTGCATCCCGTCGCAGCTGCAAGCGACTCTGATGTTCATTCATGCCACGCAACTTGGTGCGCTCTTCCTTGAAGTATGACTCGCCAATTTGCACTGAGCGCACTAGCTCACCGACCGGTGGCTTGAGTGTGACACGTGACTTGCCGGCGCTGCTGGTGATTTCCAACTCAACGGCATGTATGGAGTCATTGAAGTCTATGCCGAGCACACCAGTGCCCATTTGTTGCGGTTGCAAGCACTGCAGAGGTGCAAATTCATTGAGATTCATGCCGGCTGGCAGCGTTTGTTGGCTAAGATGAATATTGGTTATTTCAGTGCTAGAGAGATTAATAAATTGCAGTTCGATGGAGACCATGGCGGAAGAATATAAATGTGGCCCGCGTGTAAAGCGGTAGCTCACTTGAAGTCCGTGTCCAGAGAGTTTGTTAAGCAGTTCGCGATGCTTGAATTCGATGTGTGAGGGGCCGACGAGTTCGATGCGGTTGGCAGCGCTGACGGGTAGCAGGCCAACAGCGCCGCCTAAGGGTGTAGCTGTTGCAGAAAATCGAATTAATAAAGCTTATTTGAAAAATTAAATATGTGCAACATACCAGGCGTTAGGAAACCGCCGAGCGATGGTGTCATTACCGGCCCAACAGGCGGTATGTCGTCCAAGTCTAGCAGCAGATCCAGGTTGCTTTTCACCGGTGCTGCTGCTGCTGCGGCTGCTTCGTCCACAACCGCATTCTTTTCCTTCTCTTTAGCTTTCGTTTCCTTGGCCTTCTCTTTGACACGCTGAAATTTGCGATGCTTTTCGCTCTCCGTCTCCGACTCGGAACTTTCTGAACCATCTTCAGATTCCGAGCCACTACCTGTGCTGCTTTCAGACGAGCCATACGATGAAGATTCGCTATCGGAAGTACCCAAGTCATTATCGCCGTTATTGTTGACATTCAGGTGCACATTATTATTGCCATTGCTGGCTGTCTTATTTACCAGTACAGTGGTAGTATCAGACTTAGGCTCACTACCTGTTGACTGTATTTTGGGATTTGCAGCAGCCACATCATTCACTTGCCCCTTTTCTGATTCAGAGGATTCACCATCACTCGATGATGAGGACGAAGAGCTACTGCTGGAGCCAGACTCTGAGTAAGCGGAAGACTTTTCCGACTCCGAGAAGAAATTCTTGTCATTAGTTGTATGCGCGCTCTTATCGCCTTGCTTCTGTGGCGTACGTGTGGCTACACCGCTTGCTGCCGCGCCGCTAGTGCTTGCAGTGGCAGCAGTGGTCTCGTGCATATAGCCTTCGATGTTACGCACAGAAGTATCGGTCGCCTCAGTGGGGAATGGCGGCAAATCTTTATAGCCTGTGGCGCGCATATTCAAATAATGGGAAAGCGAGCCGAGTTGGAAATGATCGCGCTCGCAATACTTGCTCTCCAGCGCCGGCTTAGGTTTCGCGGAGAGAAAGATCTTGCGCGCATTTTCCGAGAGTACAGTGGTTTTCCCATTGGATGGGAAAATGAATTGACGCAAAAAGCGTGCGCGATCGCGCACATCGTAGTTGGAATCGTAGCGAGCTAAAGTGAATACATACTGGCTGAGTAGCGAAGTCTGTTGAGGATTAGTGAGGAAAAGCTTTACGCCGAGATTGAGAATTTGCAGCTTAACGGCATCCTCCTGCAGGAAATAAAAGAAAAATGGAATTATGTATTAGTTCAATAACTTTTAACACCTGTCTGCCATGACGCACCTCATCCACAAAGGTTTTGGACATTTTGCGCAGCACATCGGGCGCTATCTTCGGCACTTTTTCATTGTATTCACCAATGAGCCATAAAATTGAAGCGCGTGCAGCTGGTATGGTTATATAATCAATCAACTTTGCCATCTGTGAGATGATTTCGTAGTGCTCGGCGGACTTGGACTGCAGTAAATTCTTTATTACTACCACACTCTCTGCGACGACGTGTTCTACAATTAAAAATTAATAAATATTCATTGATTACTTTGTGTAGAATGTAAAAATTTAAAATTTCTCACCATCACGATTTGATAGCAAGTGTACCAACCCGCCGAGACAAGTTTCGGTCACTTCCTTTATGGAGGCAGCACAACGTCCAATCGCCTGTATTGTGGCTGCCACGAACGACCGATCGCTACTGGAAATGTATGTTTGGAATTCTCGTAAAATCAGCGCAATAGTTGACCCTGATGCAAGATTCGTTAGTATATCCAGTTTAAGTAGCTTGATGTGCGTGGGATCGCTAGTGCGTACAAAAAACGACTTGATGTGTGGTTCGAAAATGGCTTTGCGTTTGGTCGACATCGATGCAATGCATGTGAGCACAACACTTTGTACCTCCTTATGCGAGCGCAGCAAGCGTATTAGCGCTTTAGCGATTACTTGCACTTCGTTGCGCGGCGCCACGTGATGATATAGCTGTGCCACAGCCATGACCACCGAAGCGTTGCGCGACTGCAACAACGGCTTTGTTTGACGCAAGAGCAGACGATGGTCTAAATCCACATGATACGATGAGGATGATGAAAATGTGCGCTCTTTCGTTGCGTCAGACTTGTTTTTTCGTTTGTTTTTCTGTCGTTTTTCTTTACCACTGCCTTCGGAGGACTCACCACTTGACAATTCTTCGTAGAAATTTTCCCCAGCGGCGCCACCATCTTGGTTCTGCTTTCCATTGTCGTCGACTGGCTCGTCAACGTTGGGATCGACGAATTGGGTGCGAGCGTAGCGTGTCAACATATTGATAATTATAACCTGACCCCATTCATCAACATCAACCAGCAGGTTACAGAGCTTACGGTAATTTTTGTGTATTAGATCCACACGCTCCGGGCAGACCTGGAAATGTGGAAATATGGAAAATGAAAATTGAGGTTGAATTCCGAATTGTAAATGTTTTAGAATTTAAACTATAAACATAACTTTTTCTAATAACAGTCAATAAAAATACGTGCATACATATGTATGTATAAAATAGGAAATAAGAAAAACCGAAATCACTATATTACAAGCTTTCACCAGTATGTAATCAAATCTTGCAATAAAATTTAAAAATCTTTATTTATGGTTCAATTTGTTTTATATTTAGAACTTTTATATTAATTAAATTGAAAGAAATACCTCCACAAATTTAGCAATTACGTGGTACGGATTTTGATTTTTATTTTCTTTTTTACTTATTATTATTATTATTAATATTAGACGTTAATAAATAAATACTATGGTCGATCAAGCTAAAATAAAGTTAACAAATGTATTTGACTTACAAAGATATTAAAACAAAATTTGTTTAAAAATAATAGCTACCTTAACAAAAAATTCTCAATACAAATAAAAGCAGAGACCAAGAATTATAATTATTGCATGGTGGAGTTTTAAAAAAGTCTTCAAAATTTTCGTAAGAAATATAAGTCTTTGGATAATAATTATGTGTGAACAAATTTTTTTAAGTCATCGATAACTATTATTTTAAGACTTATATAATAAAAGTCTTTTCATAATAATTATCGGCGAGATAAATATTTTTAAGTCTTCAAAGACTTTTATTTTCAGACTTATAGTATAAGTCTTGTCATAATAATTATCATTGATATAAATATTTTTAAGTCTATAAAGACTTTCTTATATTATAAGTCTTTTGATAATAATTATGAGTGGTAAAATATTTTGTATATAGTCCTGCACGGGTCCCAAACTAAGCCCCAACTTGTCCCAAACTACCCCCCAACTAGTCCCTAGCTGGTCCCACCTAGCCCCTAACTGCTTCCCAACTAATCCTGAAATGCTTTTGAACAGATCCCGTCTTTTACGACTTAAAAAACTTTTCGAGCTCATAATTATTATGAAAAGGCTTTTATAATATAAGTCTTGAAATGAGAGTCTTTGAAGACTTAAAAATATTTATCTCAATGATAATTATTATGAAAAATCTTTTATAATATAAGTCTTAAAATTAAAGTATTTTCTTCTACAATTTTTTTTTAAATTATTGTTGCTTTTCCGCAATTAGTTTTTCATTAAAAACGGCATCAAGCTCAATAAAAATTGTTGAATATAAGTATATGAAGACTTAAAAATATTAATTTCTCAGCTAAATATTATGAAAGGACTTTTATAATATAAGACCTAAGAATAATAATTATAGATGACTCGAAAAATATTTATCTTAATATAATGAGTATTGATTGACTTTTATTTTTTTATGTCTCTGAATAAAAGTTATCTGGCCTTATTTATAAAAAATAAAGTAGCTTTATAAAAGGTTTATAAATTGAAAAATGTATGGAAACGTCAATTTATAAAGCTCTTTAAACCTACTTTATTTTTTATTTTATATATATTATTATATATTATATATTTTAAAAATACAGTTTGCAATATATAGTAGATATCAAAAAAAAAAATTACGAACACTAACAACTCAGTCCAAGGACGGCAATTTTAGCTGTATTCGAACCAACTCACCTCATCAAACGCCATTACCGCAGAACCAACCACGAGCGTTGTGCGATCGGACAGTAACTTTTCAATAACCGTCACTAATTCATCTTTCTGCTCTGGATCCAGCGAATACAATTTCGGTATGGCATGTGCCGCTGTCTTACGTACATATGGACTCATATCCATAGCGCTGTCACGTATAGCTAACATAACAATGGGTACAATCATGCTGACACGTATGGACGAAAGTACACGCAAAGCTGAGGCACGTATCAATTGGTTTGGATCTTTTAATGCGCGTTGGAATGTCGATATTGAGAGCAAGGCCAAGTCTTGCTGCTCTTCAGCATAGCGCACTAAATATACGTATACCAATTTTTTTACTTCAATATTTTTGGAAACCACATTTTTCACAACAGCTGGAAATAAATCGCTTGCATCACGACCACGCGCTATCATGCCGATGATGCGTTTCATGGCTTCTAACTTCAGTCCGTCTTTATTGCTGTCCAACATCTGTTTGAGGTCATCATGTTTACGTCCTTCACTTTGAAAGAATGCGCCGCTCGCAGGATCAGCACCGAATTCAACATCTAAGCCCATTTGTGGGCTGGATGAAGAGGATGAATAGGCGGCAAATGGGCTGCTGCCGGAGGCGCTGGATTGTTGTTGCATGTTATTGATGCTACTGCTGCTTCGGCTGTTGTAAACGCTTCCGAACAGACCAACTGGTGAGGCGGAAGAGATCATTCACAGCGCTGTGACAATGGACAAATGCTGTATAAACTGGAAAAAATGTGCATCAATGAGTTTGCTTTGTTCTCAGCTTTGGTTGCGCTGCTTCAGCAGTTCAGTTGTTTGTGTGCTTACGATTTACCAATCTTTTGGGGGCGTATGGCGATAGTAGCAAAAAGTTGGGAAAACTGAGTTTTTGTTGAACCGGCGTCAGTATTATTTTAGGATTTAAGTTACGGGCGCGAACACGAACACTTTCTACCATTTACTTTTGATTTTGCAGTTAATCTGCCTGAAAAACTAAATATTTTTCAAAGAATTCACACTTTCGCACTTTTCCTTCGCTGCAAATTTGATGACGTTTCCTGGCTACTGTCATCTCTAGAGAAAGTTTAAGTTTAAAGTGTTGTATAGCGAAGTGCATTTTGGGTGGCAAAATGAATCAAACTTTTATAAAATTTTCGAAAAACTTCGTGAAAGCTTAAAACTAATTAAATTAAAGAAACAAATGCAGAATACCTACAAATCTCATCATTGAGCAGAAAATAACGGTTTATTTTTTGAAATGGGTTTTTTAACAATTTTGATTTAAAAAATGCTTAAATTCAACTTTTACCATTAATATCTCTTGTAGTTGTTGTTTTCCCCCCAAGAAAAGAAACCTACGCTCACCCCAATGATCTCTATCAATCCTCGTATACATTTTTTTTTTTAATTCGAGAATTGCAGCTATTTTGCATTTATGCCAAATAAAATGTAGGAAAAAGGTTCGGATTCCTATTTGCACTTCACAAAGTCGGCAAATTAAGAATTTTTCAGAACTAAGCTCTACCGGTTTCATTATATCCACAGATGTTGACATTACTAATACCGAGTACATTTAACACACTAGATTGTTTTTCTTTTTTGTTGTGCGGTGCGAAAATTTGTTGTTTACCTGGCAGGAAAATTAAGGTTAAGCGGAAAATTGCCTAAATTGAAAAAATTAAGCCGCAACAATATTCACTCGCAACAGAAAGCAATAAAATAGCAATTTGACCAACCACCGACTCATAATGAGCTTCCCACTGACGAATCCCAACAAGGAGACCATCCGCGCAGCATGCAAGAAATGTGGATATGCAGGGCATTTAACCTACCAGTGCCGCAACTTTTTAAAGGTATATATCCTACAGTATTATTAAAAAATATAATAAAAAATCAAGAGGAAAATTTAATTTCCACTTTCGGCAGGTTGACCCCAATAAGGAAATTGTGCTTGACGTTTCCAGCACTAGCTCCGATTCCGAGCTGGACTATCTAACACCATTGACTGAGTTGCGCATGAAGGAATTAAAGGAGAAAGAAGCCGAACTACAAAAAACCAAGAGCGAAAAAAGTCACAAAAAATCCAAGTCCAAGAAAAAGTCAAAGAAATCGTCATCTTCCAGAAAACGCAAAAGGAATAAAAGTCGCGGTAAAAGTAAGAAACATAAAAAACACAAAGAATCCTCAGCTTCAAGTGAAAGTAGTAGTAGCAGCAGCAGTAGTAGTAGTACAGATTCCAGTACCGAAGACTCGGACACCGAATCAGATTCCAGCGACAATGAAGAATCGCCCACTAGCAGTGACGACGATGAGTATGGCCGCAAGAAAAACAAGCAGGGAAAGTACAAGCGTAAAGCTGAAACACCTGCTATGCGGCGTAAAAAGTCGCGTGTGAAGCGCAAGAAGCATCGTGCTTCAGCGCGGCCTTCCAGCAGTGATGAAGATGAGACAAGCTCCGATTAAAATGGGTTGTGTGACATTGTGAGATAATGAGATTAACTGGCTTGATTTTAAGGATACGCAAGCAACATTACATGGCTGATTTCCTGCTCCACAATCAGTTCATACATATATAATAAATTGTTGGAATATAAACATATGTAACATATAAAGCTAATTTTATTTCTTAAGCCATTTGAAGGCGATAAATGATTCTAAAACTGCTGTGTGACTTTACGTATTAATTAGTTAAAGTGCCAAAAATAGTTAACCATCTCACTCAAGCTCGAACCTTGTAGGTATGTAGCTAATATGTAGAACAACCACTGCCCACTACACATAATAGCCGATTTATGTCCTCAAACAAATTAAAAAAAAATAGTTATGACTTTAAGAATCTTATTTTGGCTTTGCGTAGATTGTATGCAAGCAAATAAATGTATGCATAATATACATTGCATACCTATGCGCGCATGTTTCATTAATTGTATGATTAGTTAAATTATATTTCTCAGTGGAAAAATAGAGCATATATGTATGTATTTAACGTAATATTATTAAAGGTATACATACATACAAACTAGATTGCTGCAAAGGCTTGGTTTGTAAACATTTGGTTGATCTTATTGAAAGGAAAAATAAATTAATTATGCTACAAATAATAATGAAAATTATTACTGAAAGGCTTAGTTTGTGATTCTTTTTCGTACAACCTCATAAATGATTATTGTCCCCAATATCGGCTGTGGAAGCAATCCATTTAAAAATATAGCTCCATAGATTTACCACAGTACCGACTGATATGTTTAAAACAAAATCAATTTATATTATTTACGTATAAATTTTATTATAACATAATTTGGATAATTTGTAGGGCATATAAAGCTATTGGAATAGTGTTATTTTAACCGCTTTACTAATACAAATATAACCACAAGCATTCAACGCGTACACATTGGGTAACAATCACTTTTGCTTCAACTCGTCCATTGCCTTGAGCGTTTCCTCGCGTATGGTTTTGCCCACTATTGCTATAACGGCATTCTTCTGAACTGGCACAATATTATCCAATTTAGTTGCTAAGCTAGCATACAAATTGTTCATTGTCTTCTTCAATACTGTTTCAATTTGTTGTTGAACGGATAGTCTATCTTCATGTGACTCATCTGCCTCCTCATTGAGGCTCCCCGCCTTCTTACTATTTTCTTCCAGTGTTTGTTGCAACTTAGTATTTTGCTCTTCCAAATCGCGTACTTTTGCGTTGACTTTCGCTTCCTTTAGCTTACTCTCCTCATACTGTTGTCTTTGTGCAAGGCACTCTTGGTTTGCTTCAGCCAGTTGGTGCCGCAAATCCTTTTCTATTTTCTCTTTGTCTGCCAAGCGTTTTTGAAGTGAGTCTAAATCCTCTTCCTGTTGGGTTCCTTTATGCTTGTTTTCCTCGTACTGTTGCTTCTGCTCTAAACATTCTTTATTCGATTCAGCGAGTTGATGGCGTAAATCACTTTCTATTTTTTCCTTATCTATCAAGCGATTTTCCAGCGATTTTACGTCTTCTTCCAGCTGTGCCTTCTTCGCTATCGTTTTTGCCAACATATCTTCTTCATCGTCCATACGGGACTGATTCGTCTTTAATTGCACATTTTTTTCTGCCAGATCCCTTTCCCATTCTTCTAATTTGTTATACATGGCTGCGCGTTGCTTCAACAAATCGCCTACTAGCCTCTCCAGGCTATCGACATTGGCTAGGTTTACATCCGCCAGCTCAGCGCTAAAGGTCTGCAATATTTGTTCACAATTTGGTTTACTTTCATACTTCCCCTCGATTGTCTGCCGTAGCTTCCGATTTTCTTTCTTCAGTTCCAAAACTTTTTCTTCAAGTGCTAACATTTCATCTTCCTTATCCACTTTATCGCCAGAACTGGAATGTAGCAAGTCGATTTTATCAATTATTTTCTCTACTTTGCTCTCCAATCTGTTGATGTTCATTCGCAGTTCGGAGCTATGGGTACGATTTTCGGAGAGCATCATTTGCATGAATTGTGTCTCGAAAGCACCACTAACCGCTCCACTAGGATATGGATTTATTTGGCTCAAGGACAGCGGTTGTGTCTTTGCCAACGCTCTACTGCAGTTACGCGGCGTTGATTGGTGTTTGAGTTGTGGCGTTGCTAATGGCGTGGATATTATCTCGGCATCCGAAGAGTCGGTGGCATCTAAACTGTTTTGCAAATTTGCTGCTGGTGACAATTTCGGTAGCTGCTGACCCATTTTGGCCATGCGGCATATTAACGCCGTTTTGGTGGGTTTAGATGTTACTATAGGAGGCTTATCTATATCCTTAAAGCACATTGGATTAGTAGCCGCAATCGAAACACTGTTCTCTGGAGCTTTTTCTAACTCTGAAATAGCATATTTTCCCCCTTTTTGCTCACCTTCGCTAACTACAATATTCAGTTCAATTAATTTTGCTACGAACTCCTCAGTGTTGGCATCTGCATCGAAGTAAACACTCCAACAGAGTAAGTCATCGTCGTAGAATTGCAAATAGTTGTGGCTGCGATGAACTTGCGCCATGTCAGCGCGCAACGAACAAGTGGTCAGCACATTTAATTTAGCTTTGTAGATGATTATTCGATACTCATTTTCCACGCTTTGCAACAGCGCTACGCCCGCTTTGCCTACAGGCACTCCTTCTTTATAAGCATAAGCGACCTTTGCCAGCAGCGTTTGCCAGGCTTGCACTGTTGCGCCTGAGCTGGCCGTGATAGTTCGATTTGTAGTGGGGGCATTACTCGATGTTTGTTTAGTGGGTTGGTACTTGAGAGACTCCTGTTGCTCACCTCCTACACTACGTTGGTTTTCGAATTCAAAAAGATTTTCCAAATCGGTGTTTAGCCTACCAAAAAAGAAAAAACAAGGACCACATTTTTGGCATACAGAAACTTGCAAAACTTTACCGACTTACCGTGTTAATGATCCAAAAAAATCTTCATCGGTTTTAGAGTCTAAGCTGAAGTCCATCTTAAAGCATAATTTAATACTATGAAATTTTAAATATACAATGGAAATGTACAAATATAATACGGAGAAACAAAAATTTTCCAAACGAAAGTGATATGAAAATTCTTATGTCTAATTTATAAACAAATGAACAGCTGTTTTACCAGCTGTTAGCAAACGCGCGTGGTGCTGCCAAAACTGAAAAAATTGATTCCATTCTTTTAGCTCTGTTCGATAAATCTTTCGAGTTAAATTAAAAAAGTTTGAGCACGTTATTAAAGCAGATCACGATATAGCGAACAAATGTGGCGCATTCCGCAAGCCGCTCCTTTGGTATTGCTGTTTTTGACAATTTTCAACAAAAAGTAAACAACGCCTCAGAAACATTAAATCCGCTGAAATTGAGAAATGTCATCGTCTTCGGGGATGCGAAATCTTTATTTTATCATTCTTGAATGCAGTTCGAACAGAGATTCGATAGTTAGCCGGATTTATTTTTGAAAATGCCTGTATGTATATCCGTGAATACTTGCACTTACTTAAAAACTACTCACCAGTTGAAACAAGAGCGTTTGGTGTCCACTAACACCCGTCTCTCTTTGGTCCGACCCCGTTGAAACAGAACGTTTCCTGAGTCTACCCTACCGTAAGATAAGCTTGACGAAAACGACTGAAGGAGACTATTTGACTCTGAGCACAACAGCATTTGGACGAGTAAAACCTTGAGCTCCTGATCTTGCCCATGAACTTATGCCTAGATGTAAACCAGAATGGGCATGCTAAGGGCTGTCTCGAGTCGTGGCGTGACTCTCCGCACGCCGGGAAATGGTTGGGCACTTCTGCGTTTAATCTGCTCAGGTACGAGTTTTGCCTGCTGAAGTATACATAGCGAAGTTCCCGAGAAAGACAAAGCTTTGTCCCGTCCATGTCCGGTAGTTATGTAGCCAAAACGGCATTCACAGGTCGGGAGTCCATGCTGGTCGAGATCGACTGCATGCGAATGCCGTTTATAGCCTGTCGGTATGCTGTCGGGTACAGAGGTTATTCTATGAACCTTCGTTCGTTAGTTCGCATAGGTGCCACCTTACGTGCCTTCACGAGAGCTCTGCTGAAAGAAGGTATCTGTTCGGGTGCCACCGTCTGTGACACCATTCTTGGAACTGCTTCCAGAGCATTGGGTTTATTCCTTGATGGGGAGCATCTGTGCCTTGCCGTGTAGATGGTGCAATGGCATCCGGTCGCGGTCCGGAGTGGCGTGTTATGGCATGTCTGTAGGTTCGTCCACTGTACGTGCTAGTCCTCAGCGACCACATGGCCGCTGCATAGTTAACAACCGGCCGGCCGATTGCCTTTTACGTTGCCAATAACGTTTCTTCCGGCTAGCGACTTGAGGACCTTGTCGGGGCTCTGTAGCCTATTGACAATGCGCCGTGAAGGAGTAGACTGTCGAAAGTGACTATGGGAATTTTCGGATTATTCACCGTCGGAATTAGTTCGCCATCGGCGTGGCAGCAAGTGGTCGCGTTGTCTTCAGTCGCAGTACTGGGCACAAATTACAGATACGACACTAATTCGTAGATCGAAGATTTTAGAAGTTTAGATTTTTCGAAGAACTGAGGAATATTAGCCCATTGATAAACTTACTGGATTCACCAAAGGGTCGGAATAGCCTTAGAAAATAAATTTTGAGCATATTATTTTGGGTGCCACGGTAGGTCCCTATGTGTCGTGTGTTTTGTTATATGACCAGCAGTAAGGTCCGCACGCTTCCAGTTAAGGACTTAGATTATGGATCTCAGCTGTTGCCCTTAGGACAAGCCTTAAGTCAATCACAAGCATAACATATCATGCGGGATGCAATTTTCAAAGCTTTCTATAAATTTTATATTAACGCACAGGGAGTTAAAGCTTTCTCAGATCGGAGCTGCCTTATATGGCAATGATCGAGAGACAATAAACACCTTCCTCAGCTTTCGCCCTGCATTATGATTACCGTAATCTGTAAAGCGGTAAAGCTTGTTGTGGAGTTGTACTCTAATCCTTGTTTCGCAAAAGATGAGAGAACAAGTTTCAGTACCCTACGAGAAAGTTCCGAAAGCATTTCCGTCACCAAAAAGCTTCTCAGAAAAAACCATGCTCCATTCATAGGAGGTATAAAGATTTGTGAGAAAAATCCATGTTTAGCAGGAGCAAAATTTTTTTCAACGTACGACTACGATTTAATTCCTTTTGCAGGGAATCGGTCGCAAACAAACTTATGACACCTCAGCCCGCCCATATGTAATTGCGTTGTACGAAATCGTGTCGCATATTGTGCAATCCTTAATGATACAGAAGTATACACTGGTAGCGTTCCTGGATATCGTGGAAGCTGTTAACGTATTACGCCTACGACAATCACATCGGCTCCAACGAATCTGGGCTTCGACTAACAGTTAGTCTCAAAAGAAGGCTTCTGCTTGTAGGTAAGGTGGTGCGGATAAACCTGCAGGAGCATAGCTGGACATCGACGTTGTATGGGTTATGGCGATTAATGAACTGCTGCAGGCCCTGGAAGAGGAGGGTGGCTCTAAGGTCATTGCGTATGCTGACGACCTTGCGATGGTTGTGTGGGAAAAATTTCCACAAGCACTGAATGATATCCTGTAAGGTAATCCAAGATTAATTGAAAAATTACTAAGTAGAAAGGCCTTTAAAGAAATCTTAGCAAAACTGACCTGGTGCCTTTCACTAGGAAGTACAAGATCCCCACACTACATCGTCCTCACTAAAGAATCCGCAAAATACTTAGACATAAAAGGTACTGGACCAAAACTAAATCCGGTAAAAGAGTTGAGAGAGAGCGTGTGAAGAGAGAGAGCAGGTAAAGAAAGCCATACCGCCATAAAGAAACGTTTGCATGGAGCTGGGAATTCCACCCTACCCTCACGGTATACAATTTCTATTCCAGGTAGAGAATTTCGGTCCGGAGGGGCTTTTCAAGAAAATTGATCACTCTACTTCTAAACTAATAGTACAAAACGAGAGATAAGACTAGGAAGTGGAGTTTTCTCGGCACAGTTGGGGCTGGGAAAATCATTTCGCCTAAGTTTTTGCAATACAAAAGGCGGGGAGCACTTACGAACAGAAGAAGTAATGTGTAACAACATCATCATCTAGTCAGACATTCAAGTGGCACTCAAAGCACATGCCTCGGTCATATGCAACTCAAAAACCGTAACGCACTACCGCAGATCTCTAAGCGGGATGGCTGAGCAGTTTGTTCCTCACATGGAATGGGTGAAAGTAAAAGTAATGCGGATAAAATTGCAAGATGGCATGTCGCTCGCTATCTACAGGCTCATTCTAAGGGATCCTTGTATGTGTCTATTAATCTAGCCGGTGACAGATGGACAAGTTTCACCACTTGCAGCAAGACGAAAGTGATGTGGCCGGAATGGAATGGGAAATGGGCGACTGGTGTCCTCACCTTGGGTAGAAGGGAAATAACAAAACCCATGGACCCTTATAACAGGCTAGTTTGCCACCGGAAGATATGCGGGAGTTCCCCATAACGACTACTGCAGAAGAGCGGTAGAACCTTGCAACACGTGTTATGTGAATGTCCCGCACTTTGTATGTAGAAGAAGAAGGAAGGCTTTAACCGACATAGCTAGAGTTGGAATATCACAGCTATTAGATTTCTTAGACTCCTCATGATGGTTTGAGTAGAAGGATTCTCACGAACCGTGTGGTATTACAACGTGCTCATAAAAAGGGGCCTAGGTGTACTAGTAGGGTCACTGTCAGCCACTTCAATCTAACCTAATCTACATAATCGATGCATCCATGCTGATTTTAAGTGAAAATTTTCAATTGGCGTAATGCCCGAAAAGGTGACAAAAAATTTTCTTATGGTGTTTTCGTTTCTACAAAAAATGTTGCCTTCTCATTGCCCTCTTCTTAGTATATGTGCTTAGAGGGCAAAGAGAAGGTAAACTTTTTTGGTAGAAACGAAAACGCCATTAATATTTTGTCACAAATGAGCCCATTTAAGAGTACTTAATCTAATCGAATTCCAACAAGCATCTAAATTTTAATTAATGCCTAGCAAATGTATTAGATTGGTCCTCATAAATGGCATGTTTTTCGCATTTCAAAATAAACAAGCGCATAAAACCGGCTTTAATGGTAAATTCTTGATTGAAAACTTTCTTACTATTAAACTTTTTTTTTTTTAATTTTTATTCCCGTATCTTCATACATACATATTTATGTACATGACTACAAATATAATTGCTACCATACCAGTGATAAGCGGCCGTACCGCTAGTCAATCTCCTACCCACCGGTTGACCTCCAAATCGAACACGTAGCTCGTCTGCTCGGTTGGCTCGTGAAACGCGTGTTTATGAATTCGAAAGGTATTTACCACAAACTATTCAGAATAGAAGATTATAAACATTTTGGAGTTGGCTTTTAGCCTTTCCATTAGCAGTAAACAAACCCATACATATGTATCTGTCTGCTGAGCAAAAGAAACCAACTGGCCACTTGTTGCATATCTTTCTTTTTGTTTTTGTTTGTATTATCGCTTTATGCTTATAAATATGTATTTTTTCTCTTTTATTGCTTGTATATTTATTAATTTTTCAGTTCCGTTTTCATTTGTTATCCATATCATATGTTTTATTTGTTTATTTATTTATTATTTGTTAGTGGTCGTTGGTACTTTCATTGCCGCTCCATCATTTTTGTAACTGCACCGTAGGTTATATTGCTTTATAATGTGGACAAACAATTTTCGAAAGTAGTGGTTTTGATACCGCTAAGGTACCACAAAGGCTAAACATTTTTGGTACTTAGTTATAACAGCAGCCTATGTTTTTGGTATAAATGGGACAGTAATTAACGCAAATCACCAGCAATGCCAGCTGTTGCAGTGAGTTTGGAAGGAAATAATGGGATGTCAGCTGTTTCAGCGTATATAGGATGAGCTCGTCCTGCCGTAAATGCTTCATCAACTTACCGGTTCATTTTGCTCTCGGTTATTAGGTGATCGCTCTTGACTTTCTCCTCGATCCTTATTCACAGCCACAGCTTTTGCCACACCAGTTTGATTACCGATATATGTATAGATGCTTTTAAGGAAGTCGCGTAGCTGAGTTCTCAGCTTGAAAATACCCAATGAGATGATGAAATCTGGAATATGTTCTGCTAAATGAATTAGGATGCGACCACATTTCAAAGAGCTCATCTATTTTGGAGTCATAACTATTTCAGCCTTACGAATAAAGCATCTGAATAGCATATTTTCCGTGGTATCAGTTTTCTATCTATCCGCTTTGCGGGTCGAAAATCAGTGGCGCTTGACCTACTTAAGGTTTTTAAATCGGGTTTGCCTAGCCTTGCCTCTTCAATTCACACGGGTTCTCGAAAACATGCGGCTGTGCGATGCAAGGATCTAAGACAGAGGTTGTTATGGAAACAAGCCGCTCTGGCATTCCTGCACTTAAAAGTTGAGAAGCAGGTTAGGGTAGCCGCTAACAGCTTATGAACGAATCTAGAAACTATAGGCATAGCTCCGTGAACGATGACAATTCACGGGATTACTAAAGGAACA